TTTAATGGTTTCCGCCATGGAGATTGGGAGGGAAAGCAGCCACTGCGTAAAAATCTTCGTTCGTTCGTTCAGTGCGTCCCGAGTATGTGGAAATCGTATTGCCCATCCTGCCTGAGATTGCACTAAGTACTTGGGACAGAACACCTGGAAAAACTGCTTTGGGAAACCCCAGCAGAAACAGCTACAGTATGCTGGAATGACCCAGACGCGAGGAAATGCCAGCAGATCATGCTTCAATCCAGCCAGAGGGAACAATCACTGACCGTTCGCCCGTGCCCGGTCACTCCGTGATCTCCTGTAACTGGCCCTGTACACTCCACCCCCTCTCCGATACCTACAATTGGTTGTGTCGCTATATTACGACCGGCACGCTATGAACAGTTGGTGATCGTTCCCTCTGGCTGGATGAATTTTACGCGTGATTCATTCACTGCAGCTGGGGGCTCTCCACAGCGCTACACAACTTTCTAAATTCTTCCATCTCATGGAGAAAATAAATCAGGTCGAAACGAAATTTGCTTTATTGGCATGAATGGTCATACAAGAGTATTGCCAAAGCTAAAGGAAAATACAATAAAAAACAATTCAATTCATATACTTCGCCGAATAAATAAAATAATTGTATTTCAATACATTGGATATAGAATAATATTATCTAATATTGTTATTTTCTCTACGTTTTCTTTCATTATGGCTGTGTCTCCTTCTGGCAACAATAACAGAAGCCATCTCTGCGCAACACTTGGCGGTTTGCACCTTCCTCTCAAACGTATTAAATATAAATGTGTTGCACTCACATGAAATTGCGTTTAGCCTTGGTAGATCACACTGCGTGTAGTAAATAAATGTATTTGCATGTTACCCTCCCACTAATTTGCACAATAAAATTGAAAAGCCCCAAACTGTATATTCATTAAGGCAAAAGTACTAAATGAACAACAGGCGCTATCTTGCACTTTTGAAAGACTTCATTCTGCGTGCACACCATTAGTACATCAGCCCAGGTGTTAATTTGCTGGTGATATCCAGTTTGCACACGTTTTTACTCACGCAAACCTTTAGTAAATCAGGCCCTGTAAGTATGGATACTGTTTGTGCCAGTAAGCAGAAAGTGTTGGAGCCGGTCTGCCGTGCTGAGCAGCAGGACTTTGGCACAGTTTACTCTTTATTGATCTGTTCTTTATCGTTCCACCCTGCTCTTTCCAGGTCTTCAAGCAGAGTTTGAATATAAACCCTACAGTGTGCATCTGAGTGATCAAAAAACAGCCGGAACAACAATAAAACCACTAGGTTTACATCAAGCTTAATTAATAAACAGACCAGACTTGGTTACGATCCACAAATGGCCTGAATTTGACTTTTCATGGATTTACAGATTTGGCGTAAAAGTGAGAGCTTTTTCTTCTTCCAAGCCCAAATGCTTGTGAGCCCAAATGTTACAACTACTCTTTTTCTGTTCTCTAAAAAAATAAAAATATAAAAATCCTGTGTGTACAACACACTTTAACATAACAAGTATTTGAGGGTATGTGGGTTAGGTTGAGAGTTTCTGGGAAGGGAATGCTATTCTTACCCTCCTGTATTACCCAGGAGGATCTGAACCAGGGAATATTGACCAGGTGGCTGGTGGCCTGCTTTCGACCTCATAAACTATTCAATCCTCAAATGATAAGACTGAAGAAAGGGGTATAAAACCAGAATCAGCATACTGTTAGAAAGCTGGGAGATGGGGGACAAAAAATCTTGTCTCATCTGTTTCTTTCTGCAGAATTGTCCCAAACTATTTTCAAGCACAGGACACCAAAATCAGGCAACAGTCAAAGGCTGTGGATTTAATAATGGAGACACAAATAAATGAACAGAGAGACACTGAAGAGCAGTTGGTCATAACTTTATCTGCATTAATCCATCTTAGTTTTATGTTAACATCCCTTTTTCACTGACTGTCAGTTCACTCTGTTAAAAATGTGTGATGTCTGTACTCACTGCTGGCGATGATGCGGCTCTCATTCCCTGCCGGAGGGTCTGTCTCTGCATTAGGATGGAACTGCTGTAGGTCAATCACTCTTCCGGCTGGATCCAGAACCACCGAACTTTCGTTAACTGTGATTTCACTAGCCCCACTGATGGGGTTTGTGGGTGGACCTCCGACAGATGTCTCGTAGTCTGGAGGAATGTCGTCTGAACAGTCGGGGTTCAGCTGTAAAATGTAAAAAAATGTCTTTACAAGTATTCGTCGCTTTAATGTTTTGCACTTCAGAGTTACTTTAGTCTTGATGAGAAATGAGAGCAGTGAATTTTACTTTTTCTATATGCATGTATGAGGCAAAAATGACCACAATAAATCAAAAAGGACCTTACTAGGATTCCCAAAGCTTTAAGGATGTTCATTTTACACATGGGACACGTCCGGTGGTCTTGTAACCATGGGTCTACACAGTGCTTATGGAAGACATGTCTGACCAAACAAGAAGCCAGTGCAGAAATTATTAATTTGAAAACAAACGACAGCTACAATGCAGTGCACAGTGAAATGTGTAGATATCGTAGCCATGGTGCATGTGTTTACTTTTTACGTTCATGTAAACAACAAATACAGACGCTTGTTATAGTATGTACAGCAAAGATCAAAACTTGATGTCAGGCAGTTTAACACAACGTCACTCAATACAGCATCTCCGTATCAGTTTAATATAAAGAGGAGTGTCAGTATTTTTGACAGTATTGAAAGTCATACTGTAAGGATTTCTAAATACTCTGGTATACTCCAATACTGTGATACCGTCCAAGCCTAGCGCACAAACATTACCTGCATGGTAATATCCTTACGACATCATTAGGCTTATAACCTTCAATGCAAACTGCACAGTTGTCAAAGTCTGACTCAGTCTCCTGAAACACAGAACACAGAAATTAAAAAGACACAAAATGACAGACCAACAAATATCTATATACCAAATAAAACATAGACAACCACACACGCACACACGCACACACACACACACACACACACAGTTAAAGTGAAATGTACTGTTTGCAGTGAGGGGAACATCATTTACCTTGTCTCCTTTCTTAATGGTGCGTACTTGCAGCTTACTCATGGCCTTTTTTGCAGCATCTCCTAAACGTCTCTGATGACATTTAAAAAAAAAAAAAAAAAAAAAAAAAAAAAAGAACTTGATTACTGACATGGCCAGAATTTTTTTTTGAAATTGTGAAAACAGTCAGTGACACAGCGATATATACTGTAGGTATCTCATTGGTCTGTAGACGGTGAGGTACAGTGCCTCTGAAAGTATTCAGAGCGCTCTGTTATACAAGCTGTACACTCACTACTTTACATTGTAGCAAAGTGTTATTTCTTCAGTGTTGGCACATGAAAAGATGTAATCAAATATTTACAAAAATGTGAGGGGTGTACATGAGTATTCACAGCCTTTGCTCAATACTTTGTTGAAGCACCTTTGGCACAAATTCCATTCAAGTCTTTTAGAGTAAGAGGCTCTGGCTGGGCCACTCAAGGACATTCACAAAGTTGTTCTGTAGCTACTCCTTTGTTATCTTGGCTGTGTTTCTTAGGGTCATTGTCCTGTTGGAAGATGAACCTTCACCCCAAGCTGAGGCCAAGAGCACCCTAGCGCAGGTTTTCATCAAGGATGTCTCTGTATATTGCTGTATTCATCTTTCCGTTGATCCTGACTAGATTCCTAGTTCCTGCTGCTGAAAACATCCCCACTACGTTTTTAGGTTTTTTTGAGTGTCATGGCAAAGGCTGTGGATACTTATGTACATGTCCTTTAGTTTAGTTTTTTTTTTTTAATTAAATTTGCTGTAGATTAGATTTGGATAAAAAAAAAAAAAAAAAAAACTCTTTTCATTTTCATTTTATCCATTCTGGAATATGGCTAACATAACAAAATTTGGAAAAAGTGAAGCGCTGTGAATACTTTCCAGATGCACTGTATCTGCATACTGCTGTTGTCATGTTAACGTGTACAAACATGAAATTTCACAGGATCAAACATCACGTGTCGCTTTGCAGGCTGGGGGCTTGTCGATTGTGCTTCTTAACTTTGGAAATGAATAGAGAAGAGACGACATCACCGACTGTGTGTTAAGCAAATAGATCAGAGTATAAAACACCACAGCTGAACCACTGTCACTGACTAGAAACGAAAACAGATCCAGGAGACAAACTGAAACACCAATTACTTTTAATACAATGTCACTTTCTATGTAATAAGACATCAGGTATTTAACTTCAACTCTTGATGGTTTTGAAAATGCTGCCGGGGTGGGAGAAGTGTGTAAAGGGAACTAGTTGCTTTGGTAATGTATGCAACAATGAGGTCATTCTTTGAGGTATTAACAAACTGTTTCTTTAACACAGTGTTCTGTAAATGTTTTACACAGGCAGCAATAAATTTGACAATGTATTACTTTCTGTTTATTACGGGTAAATTAGTTAATGTGGTTTGTATTTTTGGCACTGTGACAGGGAAAAGTATTTAAAGAAAGGTGGTTATAACAATAAAACAAAGACATAACAGGTGGCGGCAGTTTCACAGAAAGGCAGTGGCGTTATTGAGATATAGTTTTACAATAGCACACCATAAATGTTTTGGCTCCCTTGGGAATAAATCAAGAGCATAGTTGTTCAAAATGGCTGAATTCTTTGTACAACATAAATCAAAATGAAAATGCAAACAGTTGTCATGGCTCCGGCTCCTATCATAACAGGCCCAGTGATGAACTGTCATTATAGATGTCACAGGAACGTCTGTAATATAGAGATGGCAATAGCCATTATTATAAAAAGTATTTGCACTGTCAGCTCAAGGGACTAGAAAGCGGAGTTGGTTGATGGTTCACTGGTTTGCCACGTCTCTGTTTGGCCAGCTTTCAGGCTAATTCTGGCCTCTCCTCACAGCCGTACAGAGCTGACAGCAAATGGAAAAAATGTAAGAGCCTTTCTCAGTGTGAGTGAGACCACAGCACTACAGCCCTGTCAGGAAGCCTTTTACACAGAAATACAACGAGTTATACTTTGATTGAGCAAAGTGCACACAGTCATACCTGGTTGCGGTCTCGTGCATTAGCATAGCGGAACCTCTGGATATAGTAGAAGACAAGCCAGGCGAGGGAGATGATCATGAGAACGATGAAGGAGATGGAGACAAACACTACCGATGTTCTGCTCACGTACTTCTGCAGGTTGCGGGTTCCTATGGTGATGTATAACATGATGTTGATGTGTTGCTCCAGCAACGCCACAATCTCACGACCTTTAGGCTCTGGGATCATAATGGCCACAACATCGCCTGTACCTGCGCGCACACACACACACACACACACACACACTTAAACTAAAATACAGAAATTATCTTTCCCCATGAATTATATATTCATATCTTTTGTGGAGTAAGCTTTGAAACAGCACTTAGTGAGATATATGTTACAGAAAATATAACTAAACAGTTAAACTTTGAAAATGAATTAATACAAGTTCAATGTATTTTTGTATAATGTCTACAGCTGCAACAATTAGTCTCTCTAGTCAACTGATAGAAAACGAAGAAAAAAATGCTAAACATCCATTGGTTCCAGATTCCAGCTTCTCAAATGTCAGGATTTTATTATTTTCTTGTCATTCATGATAGCAAACTGAATATCTTTGGGTTTTGGACTGTTGGTCAGACAAAACAAGACATTTAAAGACATCACTTTGGACTCTGGGAAATTATAACGAGCATTCTTCCTTTTTTTCTGACATCCTGAAAATAGCTGTAGTTGTATTAAAGCGATCTGAAATTTGTTTTGGTAATTAGGACAAAAATTAGGCAACACAACAGAAAGGCAATAAATCTCATTAAACTGCAACTGAAAATAACTTCTTTAAAGACCAACTGTAGGCTTTGGCTACAGTTTCTTAATCCAACCCTTTTTACAATACAAATGAATTTAGCATCACACAGCCCTGGTTCCTTAATATTTATGGATATACACAAATGCTTACCAAAGCTTAGAAATTAGAAATACTTTTTACAAGTAGATTCCTACCATCCAACTCTGGTATATAAAGAATTGTCATTTAAAGCAGAGCAGGTGTGAAAACTCAGTTTCTGATTCAGACTGTGGTGTATACAAGAGAGAAAACTTGGGCAGATTGCTGGGAGCTTAGACAGGACAGCAAAACTAAAGCCTCACTTGCTATGTAAGAGGCTTCCTGCCACCAACCTTCTGTTGCTTTGCATGTTGTGCACGATGAAGACTTTTGCATTACAGTCACAGAGCATCTTTCAACACCTGCACCCGAAATAAGTCCAGGAGGAAGACCGCGTTTACAGGACAGGATTTCTATGGGTTTGCATGAAAAATTAACATTAGCATTAGCTAAGACAGTACTTCTTCTCATGCTCGCCACAGTTCAGTTAACTTTAGGCTAAAACTATCATTGTCATTATTGATAAATGTGTGTATAATTTCTTTCATTAATTAATTATATTGTCACAACAAATGTCCATCACAGGGACGTGCATTCAAATGTGTTTAAAACAGCTTAACACATAAAGATATTCAGATTAAAATTACACAAAACAGAGAAAAGAAGACAAAACTCAAATGAGAAACTGGAACTTGTAAGTCATATTGGCTTGGTTGATTTTACCTAAAGAATTAGTAGATTATTAAAATAGCTGACAATTCATTTTCTGTTGCTCAATCAATTATTTCAGGACTAGCTAAAGAAAGTATAGATGCCCAGCCTATACTACAGATCTAACTGATGCTGATATTATCGCCTGATATCTGCTTATCGCAGAAGTATTGTTATCTGTGAATAAGTCTGTAACCAAAAACTGCAGAGATATGTTGAGGTCATTTAGAAATAGTGTCACGATTACATACTGTAGTTTGACAGGTAAAAAAAAAAAAAATAGTATTTTTGCCTTTATTTGACAGTTTGCAGTGAAGATAAAATGGAAAATGAAATGTAGGAGGGTTCAAAAATGCTGCCATTTCTTATGTGAAAACATTTCGGCTGACATGTCATTATTAGATTTCTAACTTCCAAACATCGATCTCTGTACCGGTCTCAAAACATCCAGTCTCACTCAGCATCTCTTCTGTATAGTTTATTTGAAATTGTCTATAATGGGGGAAGTGACACAACACTGGCTGATGTTTCCAGGAACTGCATCAACAGCTTGAAAAACTGTTACATCATATTTCTCCTGCCACCTGTTTATGACTATGGCTGCATAGAGTCACAGAGGCTCCGTGCGGTGCTTCACTCCCTCATTCAGTCACCATTACCAGTAGCGTTACTCCACCTGCCATCACCAACAGCATCCCCTGTGCAGCAAAGTGCCGTGACAAATCCTCATGCACCTCACAGAGATCTGCACAGAGCTATTTTCACATTATATTCTGGGGTGATTCTGCCACAGAGGTATTAAGACTGACAGAGAATATGGTGTTTTGTGTTTTGCAGAGGAGTTAAAGGCTTTGAATCCAACTGACACTACATTTTAAGGATGTAGCTGCAATGCATTATAGCAGTCATGCTCATAAATCCCTTTACGTAACAGGTTAGGAAATCTGCACAGCACAGCTGCATTTACCAGAGAAATCAGACCAAAATCACGTCCGTTAATCAGCACAGGCCTCTATATGTTACCTAGCTGAACTTTTTAATTTAAATTCTTGTGGAAACAGAATTTCAGAACATGGTTGTAATTTTTGTTTCAGAACACAATACAGTAAATATATTTGGGCAAAGCAGCATTCTTAACAATCAAACAAATGCTTCAATTAACTGTTTTGTTACGGGAAAGGTAGAAATGGGTACAAACCACTTGATTTGTACCATCCTCTTCAAACACAGCCAGATCCCTACTCACCCATAATCACACAGTAATGCAGTTAGCAGTATCTCCACTGTCAACACAAAGGTTTATCCTTGCGTTAACATGGCTGCTCCCTTAAAATGAGTGTATGTACGCTAGAGCTTCTGAAGCAAACCCTACTACAAACAATGACAGAGAAAACAAAAGCTTGTGTTTGGACAGCAAACAGATGGTGACACGCTGCTGAACACTACTGTCTATTCAGACTCTTAGGCCATGAGCTGCCACACTTCTTCATTGTCTTTCTCACCGACATAAAAATTTAAATAAGTTAGACGTGTGGTTGACAGGCATTTTCAGAGTTTATAAAATGAGTGTTTTTTAAATAGGTGGATTAAGAAATATATTAACAGTCTTCCCCAGTAATACAAGTTAATACTCAAGACTCCATGTTCACTGTTATGTAAACCTCTTTTTAAATGTGTGTAATCTCAGACACACACTCTCCTGACCTGCTGGTTTATGGTTTTATGCAGCATGGCCATATGGTGTGCAATGCCTGTGAAGGCAAAGGATTTCAATAATAAAACTGTTGCTTCCAGACTCCTTTACAAAATGTCTGTGTATGGTCAGCTTCAGCTTCATAGAAGAGAAATTAGGAAAGCCATAACAAGGCATGTAAGATTTCCCTAAGCCTTGACTCTTATCTGCTTGTTCTGTTCACTGTGACGCAGTCAAAGTGGACAAAAATAGCTGCCTCTAAAACAGGAGGGCAACATCTGAGACTGAGGCTGAACTTGTGAAAAGCTGTGGAAGCCAAGAGGGATACATACTGAAGGGGTAATTCAGTGGACACCAACCCGTTCATTTCACTAGCAGGCTTTTGGTCTGCTGCAAAGTGGATAACACTAAATTAACTGGTGAATCTTTTATTAACAACCATGTGCTCACCTGAACCTGACAGTTACATAAAGTAGGCTTACACTGTGGTTAATATAAAAAAAGCTTCAGAGTTGTTGACAAAATGAGTAGTTTGACATTTTGGGAAATACACTTATTCGCTTTCTTACTGGGAGTTAAATGGGAAGGCTGATACTACTAGCATATCTGTAGCTGAGGCCAGCAGTCAGTTAGCTTAGCGGAGCACAAAGACTAGAAACTAAGAGAAACCGGTAGCCTGGTTCAGTCCAAAGGTAACATCATGTTAATTAACACATCTTATTTGATTAATCCATACAAAAATTGAAGTATGAAAAAAAAACTTGGTGCTGAACCGTTGCCAAGCAACCAGTGCAGACTAGGAAGTTAGTGCTCTAAGGCAAAAAAAGAGAAAAAAGTCTGGAACAAAGCCTCTCTTTAAACAGCAAAATGTCATTTTTACACTTTGTTTATTGTGTGGGTTAAACAAAGGAACAAGAGGTGATGAGGTAGGCATTTAAAACTTTGTTTTACCTTTGGCCACTGCCTGGGTAACTGTTTCCTCTTGTTTCCAGTCTGTATGCTAAGATTAGCTAATCTGCTGATGGCTTCAGCTACATGTCTACAGGCCTATTTACTGTAGAGATATGAGAGGTATCAGTGTTACTAGTTACCTCTATACAACTCATCTGGGAGATTAAATGTGATTGAATATTCAAGTGATACCAGTGATACGGTTCACAGGGGCTTTTACAGGAAAAGGGCTGTGAAGATTAAAACTTTATCCAGACCAACACACCAATGATAAACCCATAGTATCTAACCCGGCTTTATAGTCGAAAGCTGACACATTATTTTGACACATCACATTCTTGGGATGAAGGGGTTAAATGAGGCCAGGCCATGAGAGGTTCCTGGCTCTGGCAACTGTGGATTTTACAGCCCAGCTGTGTTGGCTCTGGACAGGGAAGTGCTCTATTCTTTCTTTGGCAGCCTCACGTTCAGTCTACACATTAAGAAAAGTTGCTTTGTCACTGTACCCTCAGTTGCCTTCCTCTTTTCTACCAGCTTTGTCATCACATCTCTCCTGGCTGCTGTTTCTGTCTCAAAGTGTCTCAGTTTATATATATATATATATATATATATATATATATATATATATATATATATATATATATATATATATATATATATATATATATATATATATATATATATATATATATATATATATATATATATATATATGCCAGGGCTCAAAGCAGGGCAAGCCTTTAAAATAGCCTGGTGCCTTTAATGTTCTAGGTAACCTAGTGATGAGCCTTTGTTTGCTACTCCAAGAACAGAGGAGGAATAGAGGATTTTTAATGTTCAAATACTGTTAAATGTTTTAAGTAAAGTACAAAAATGACCTGCATTACTTTATTTTTTTTAGCTACATTTTTTTAGCTACATTTAGCTACAATAGTGCAACAACATTGTGACTAAATACTATAAAAAGGGATCTGAAGGGTCAGACAAGTCACTGGCTTTGTATTGAATTTAAATTATCTGCTTATGCGACAGGTGGCTGTTACACTTCTGTACAAAAGGGCCTTTTCATTTAAAAAAAGTCTCGAAGTCAATTGACCATTGTGTCCTTAAGTGTTCCAAGCGTTTTGATTAAACATCTGTTATTGTACAGATCCTTTTTTCAAACAGCCTTCTTGCATTGTGCTGTTGTCTTGCACAGGTGTAGCTGTCTGGTCAGCCACATCTTTATGACAACTACCAACAAACTGGGAGCTCGTTTCCAATGGAAATACAAGTCAAGTGGAAAACAAGCCTTTGCTCACAGCTACTGTAGTAAAAAGAAGTCAACTTTTATTCTTGCAAACAACTGATTCAGTATTAAAAACTGCATAAAATAGAATTGAGGGGGGAAACCAAGAGTTAAAACTGTGATAACTGTACAAAAATAATTTGAAGGTTTATTGCAACTCTGGGACAGTTATATAGATCTATTACAAAACTAGATGGACTGATACATGTACAGTATCTATGCATAATATCCTTCTCTGTTTTGACAAATAAAAAAATATTTAAAAAGCACAGAAGAGCAGAGTGGCAATTTGAGAACAAAGACCACATTACAATGCAAAACAGACATCCCAGCCCCTGTGTCAGCAGGTGTGTGTGCTGATGAAGAGCATTTGAACAAAAAACTGATTATCTATGACTTCCAGGATACTTGATCCAATAGAAAAACCCACCAGGACAAGGAATCATATCATTCCTAAAAAACACAAGTATAGCTAGAAAATCCCACACAATGAAATTGGTTAGTGTTCTTTCCATAAAAATGGTAGTTCAACAAATGCTGTATAAACATCTGTGTTGTTTATGCACTAATCCCACTTAAAATATTTGTTTTGTTTCCTTTATAGATCTCTGATACTTTATGATAGATAATGTTGTATTTGCATTGTTAGTAAAAGAGGTCTGTGCTTTATCTTTGTTGTTTTTTAGGATTTAGAATGTTTAACACATCAAGTTTATTTTACTAGGCATGGAAAATAAACTCAGTGAAAGAGTTGTGTTCAGTGATATGTAGTTTTAAGGCACTAATAGAGGCGACCTCTTCTGGTGTATAGGGCTGGGAATTTACCATAAATAATGTTATCTGGCACCAATTGATGTGTGACTGTGGTACAGACACATGGGACACTAAAAACTGTGTCAGACCAACACTAAAATGAGTAGGAAAAACACGTTCATCTCTCTTAAAGTTTGGAGCACATAAGTAAGTAATAAGTAACATTGGAACCCAGGTATCAAAGTGGCATGAATATAAAAACATTTTTAATGACAGATGGTGTATATTAACATGGCCTTCAAAGGTTGCACCCACACCTACAACCAGTTGGCAAATTCAGCAGATCTGTGGCAGTGGGTCAGTCCATCTACTTGGAGCAACTTTTCTAATTTACCACTAATTGATTATTTAGCTGATTACAGAGATGCAGAGTGGGTCTGGGACCCCAGCAGGTGGAATGAAAACCATTAATCTTGTCCAGAGGTGCCAAACACTAAAGAAGCAACTACTTAAGTGACATTTATAGGCCTCCAACACTCAACTGGACAGGGATTATGGAGGAAAAGCCTGTAAAAATGAGACTTCTCTTGCAGGGAGACAGGTCGCCTCTTACCTGGATGGGGCATTGTTATGGTGTCGTTGGCACTGCTGGAGCCCACATTGTATATGACAACTGCAGAGGCGTTGAGGTTGGCAACGTTACGGATTTTCTCTCGGTATGTGCAATTCCCCGCAGCCACCAACGCCACCCAGGCGGTGTTGTGAAAGACGGGAGGGAACCTGACGTTTGGGTCGCACGCCTGTCTGTCCTGCAGGGACGACGGCACCAGGACCAGACCTCTGGCTTCTTTCTTCGGCGAGTGCTCGCCATACCGACCGCACTCGGTTTTCTCTGTCTTGACCTCCGATGTGACGGGGTCCAGATAGGTGATGTTGACGAACGCCGTGTACCATTCCTCTTTCTCTGCAACCGTGAAGTCCAGGCACAGCAGGTGGACGAAACAAAACGACAGCAGCCACGTCGAGAGAGCCAGACTGCGGCAAGCTCCGATGAGGGACGGTGCCATTGTGCGGCTGGTTTGGGATGGACGACGAGCTCCGGGGTCTCCTCCTCACTGGAAAGCTCGCACCAAGTCCCTCTTTCTATCTTTATTTTTTTACTTTTTTTTTTTTTTTTTTTTTACAGAAGGCTCTGGTTAAACAAAGTGCATTAACCTTGCATTGCTAAACACCGAGGGGTCCAAAGAGTTTGTGAGCTACGTGCAGGAGTCTACTACACACCACCTGCAGGAAAAGACGTCGCTATGTGTTGTTGCTCTCCGTCAGCTGTTTCCCGTCCTCGCTCCGGATTGGCTCACCGCGCATCAGCACGTGACATGGGCGTGGATATGGTGGCTGTGACGCCCCGTGGCATGTGGAGAAACTAAAATTGTAATAAATCATGTAAACCCTATAAACCACTGCCAAAGAAATTAATAATTAACAGTTTTGCATTTTGTAAAATGTTACACTGTAGGAAATGTTAGAGTTGTTATTAATTTATTTGTGCATCAAAAGTAAAGAAGACATCTAAATTAAATTTCTTGGGTATTACGGTATTACACATATACTGTATATAAAAAGGTATTACATTCTGGTAATCTACAGAACCTGGAATAAATATAGACTTTTACGGGGTTTAAATAGTAAATCTGTTAATTGATACATCCAAGTAAATCAATTATATTAATTAAATGTAATTAAAATCATTATTCTAGCCCATTAATGGCGCTGTTCTGTGTTTTTAAATTATACATTAATCTTTTAATTAATTATTTTAAAATTAATTTAATTTTGTTGTGTTATTCCATTTACTCATGTGTCATATTCCATCTCACAATTCTGTTGACATGTTTTTTTGTCTTTTATTCTAAAAACCCCACCCATTCTATATTACAGATTTGAATCAATATCTCATGAAATCTTTATAGAAGAGTTGCTTCATTAGTAATCTGAGATGTTTAAATGCTGAGGTGAAATTATTTTCAGTGTCTATACAACAACTATATAATAGATACGCCAACTTACCTACAAATGTCTAGAAAGTTCAGCCTGCTTGCACAATAAATTAGTTTGAATAATCGACAGATTAAACGGGGGGTTCTCAGATTAAACGAGTTAATTCTCAATAAGGTAGGTTCTTCACTAGGCAGGGTTTCACTAATCACTTTTCACAAATGAATTTACTTACCTATTTACTTCAGTAATTAGCTTTTTTTTGCATAAAGAAAACTTTTTGCATTGCCAGGTTGTGATTGCAGGTCATTACAGGCTCGGTTGATTTCTCTGGCAGATTTAATAGTGAGATACAACTTGCTTGTATCTGCAAACATGGCATCACAAAATGTGTTTTATGACTCTTTAAACATATTTAGACTATTCACTATTAACCAGATTGTTCACAACTACAGTTTTGACTCTGGGTAACCCAAAGTGCAAAAGTCAAGATGAGAGCAAACATTTATTGTCTTTAGGGAATGCGGAATTAAAAGTAGGAACCAAAGCTGGGCAGTATGTTTCATCCCGCACAGAGTTCCAGACCGGACTTGCGAGAAATCGGCGATCTTTTCGGTAAGAAAACTGCAAATCATACTTGAACATTTGAAATGACACTTGGATGTAACATTAAGGGTCATTAATTTAACTGTTAGACAGCCTAAATATTATAGATAAACAGCTGACACTTAAGTTAATTAAATTTTCTTACCACGTGACTAACGTGTCATTTTCAAAACTGTCTTCTTGGCTGGAACAGCTAACTTAGCCAACAAAACGTTATAAACTAACCTTAAGCTAATTGTACATATTTGGCCTCATAATGCGTCACATATGTTGGCGATCTAGCATTACCTTGCTTACTAGATACAATGTATTTTTACTGATAACAGAAGTCAGATAAAACATTTACAGTAACTTAAAGGTATCTGCTGTTAGCTTAATTGCAACTAAAGATAAACTAGCCAGCTGTTGGTTGTTACGGATCCACAGCAGCACCTATGTATCCGTGTTTGTAGATAACTTGACGTCAAACTAGCAGTTAGCTGTGTGGCTACCGGCCCGTTGAAGCAGAAATGCCCAAAAAGAAAACCGGTGCCCGGAAAAAGGCTGAAAGTCGTAAGGAGCGAGAGAAACAGAGTCGAGCCAACCGGGAACATGTAGATGTGGCCAAACACCCCTGCAACTTTAACATGGTTAGTAACTTAGCTACTGTAGCCGATACACAAAAACGCTAAGTTACCTGTCATACTATTGAATACTATATCTTACTTTATTTCTTTATTGCCTTCTGTCTTGTAGGATTGTGACAAATGTCAGAGGTAAGTGACTGTATCTCATTATGTAATATTTATTCAAGCAGTGGTGGAATGTAAAGTACATTTACTTAGGTTTGGAAATGAAGTAGAATTCTGAGGTACTTGTACTTTTAGTATTTAAAAAAAAAATTATAATTTAAGTAAGGATTAAAATACCATAGTAGTTGAAATTGGCCCCACCTTTACTAGCTGCAACATTAGTGAGGCTAACGCATTAATGCATCACTAATTGTTATCCAGTGATAAAGTATGTGTTGTTCTGAAATGGGACGTATAATGACTACTTTTTAATGCCAATACTCATGATCTTTTACTTAAGTAAGACTTTGAATACAGAATACATTTTGCTTGTAAAAAAACAACAATTTTTACATTGTGGTATTGTTTCTTTTACTTATGTAATGCACAAAAAAACATAATTCTCCTTGTAATTTCACCTGGTAGAAAACAGAAGAACAGAGCCTTCTGCTACTTCTGTAACTCTGTGCAGAAGCTGCCTGTCTGTGCTCAGTGTGGTGAGTAAACTGTAGTGAAAGATGTATTTTATTTTTTCCCCAACAAGGTGTTAGTTTGTCTTTCAAATCTTACCGCCATCCAGAGTCTGTCTGTGACTCTCAGTCTCGATCCCAATCATTCCTACTGAATACAGAAATATTTAAAAACTGATCATGAATATGTAAATTCATTTATTAAAAGCTAAGTAAAATCCTAAATCAGCTGATTTCTGCAGTTGTTAAAAATTGTTGAAGGACTAAACAGTACATTTATGTTTTCAGCCACAGATTTTCAGTTTGTAATGCAGTCTTTCTGTTCTAAATTTTTAAGCCTCAAGGCCATGCTAAGATAACTTTAATGCCATCATCAGGAGGTATTTATTTTAAACTTGAGAGTAGTATTAACCATGACTGTAGCGGGGTTCTCTTCCAAACTCTCAATAATAAGAGAAAACACAGGTGTAGTCGAAAAATAGTGGCGTGATTTTTATTATGCCGGCCTCCAAAGTGCAAACAGTGGGGAAAAAAAACTTGCATAAAGAAAATGAAACAAAAATTAACTATTTGAAAAAAAGATTTATAACTTACTCAATAATAAAGTTACACAAAACCCAACATACAATTCACTAGTTACCTCCTCTGTAACCAGGCCAAGACTGCCCTCACAGGCCAAAGCGGCGACTTTTAAAGACAGTAGCCCCTCCCACTAGGCTTAACCATTATTTACACCATATAATGAATAGATTTTACTACCTTCAGAAAAGGATTTATATCTATTACACTTCGATATATTTTCAACAATAATTATATCCAACATTTTTACTTCCCCTGGAACAGTTACTTACATCGCAAATTATTACTACAACCAAAAACCATAATTTTGCAGTTCACATGACCATGAAAGCGCGCGAGAACATGCTATTTAAAAGACGGAAATGTTACACTCCCGTTTTGCCAAACTGAATGGAAAACAGAGCAGCGATGCATCTCGATACAAAGTAAGTGTTTGATGTTTGTTTAAATGTATGCTTAAAGAAGAGTAGAACTACCAAGTGTGCACCCTTGATCGCGCTACTTAAACAGTAGAAGAAATATGCATAATAGCGAGGTTTATGACCGGCTTAATTGAGGCTGTAAGGGAGCGGGGAGTGAGTGTGTATGTGTGTGTGTGCGTGCGTCCCGCACTCAGTGACGGAGCCGCTCCGTCACAATGACAGATAAGCTGATCCTGATAATCCTAAAATCAGTGAATGCACATTTAAAGCCACTATGTGTATAAGTTGAAAATATTCAGAGTGGTGATATTCTAAAAGACACATTGGCAGTCAGCAGTGCATGCCAATTAAGTACTGTAAAATCTTTTAAACATTTTAATCTGAAAAATGCTGTAATTACATCAGAATTATCCACGTAGTGGCAATACAACTACTGGTTGTGACAGCTTATTAAAATATGACCTATTTAATGCTTGTGTTGTCAGGCAAAACCAAGTGCATGAAGTCATCAGATTGCGTCATCAAACATCCTGGGATCCACAGCACTGGGATGGCCATGGTGGTAAGTTAGCAACATACTGCTATTCTTTGACTACCAGGAAAGACTGGGTGACAACCACAACAACTGTGGCCATTACTGGAGAGTTAATGGAATGACACCCACAGGGGTACCAGAGAATGGGGGAGAAGCACCCCAGACTACTATAATCAAGCAGTGTGCATGTGGCAAATTCTGCTACAAACTTTGCTCGAAGATCCCCCTAACAAGGATGAAGTGTTTGGTGGAAGCACGAGCAAAATGCATAGGTGTCCAACCTGCTAAGATGCAGGAGAGTCCAGGCCTGGAGGCACCCCATGGTGCCCAGACCTACCCAAGTTTTACAATTGACTCCCTCTAACAACAAGTCTAAGGGGAGACGGATCAAGTGGCTAGTAGCGAACACAACCCCACTGTGGAACCAGTCAACAATGTTTACCAAATTCTGGATATGCAACTGTAAAAGGAAAGGCTAACGGGAACCGCAAACCATGACTAGGCCCCAGATTCCATTAAATTTGTTGAAGACACAAGCTCTCGCAAGCGCCGGCCCAAATGTGCTTCAAACCAGCCAACTGCTGGCCTCTGCAAGGGACTAGCAGCTGTTAGTGCACCTCAGATGCAAGCTGAAGTTCCCCAACCACATCGCTGCCACCGCATGAGGACATTATCCTCGTACCCACGAAGCAAGCTGTTGTTCAGGTGGTGAAAGTCCCCTGGGAAGTTTACCTGGAAGAGAGCAAGTATGCAGGACTTGTCAGTGCCTGCCCATGTGTTAGATTGAGAACACAGTGCCTCTCAGTAGAGATTGGGTGTAGGGGTTTCTTTGTCCACACTCTAACCTGAGCCCTCAGCCATTTGGCCATCAGGGAAGAGAGGATGAGGATAGCTATCCATAATACCACCAAAGCGGCAGAGAGAGCCTCAAAATGGCTCAAGAAATTATACCTATTGTGTCAGTAGTAGCTCGCCATGTGGACACAAGCTGGGGTCTGATCAGCCAAAGCTGAAACACCCGATGATTCTAAGAAAACTCTGAGCTTACAGTCTTTGTCACAATTGTGCATTTTTGTGTTCAAGTATTGCATTATTATTATTATTATTATTATTATTTTTATTATAATTATTATTGAAGAAAGAAGAAACGCAGTCTAAACACTGTCCTAGTAGGGATCCGACATGCTGGAATAGGTTAACAGAATAATGATTTAAACAAAATGCAAGTGATGAATGACAGCCCAGTGATCAGTGACTATTACCTACTAAATTACAAAGCATGTACCGGATATAATAGCCTGCAATGTAGTACACTATTTTTGTCTGAGATCAATTTATTCAGATTTGTACTGTGACTTCAGTAAAAGTAAATCCATGGCAAACTGATTTGACTGATTGTTTGTAATTCTCCGTGACCACAAGGGGGCAGTATGTGACTTCTGTGAAGCTTGGGTGTGCCACGGCAGGAAATGTCTGAGCACTCACGCCTGTGTGTGTCCCCTGACTGATGCAGACTGCATCGAGTGTGATCGCAGTGTGTGGGATCACGGTAAGACCCCTCTCCCTTTTGTCTGAAATGCACCCAATCACATCAGTGTCTCACTAAAGATCACCACTGACTGTTTTAACTTCCTACTTAGGAGGGCGAATCTTCCGCTGTTCATTTTGTCATAACTTCCTATGTGAGGATGATCAGTTTGAACACCAGGCAAGCTGCCAAGTCCTTCAGGCAGAAACATACAAATGTGAGCCATGTAGATTTCTTTTTCACAATAGCATTTTTGTGGTTAATAGTAACTTGTATCTTCTCCACTACAGAGAATAATATCTGGAAGGTATGTGTGCATAAAGGGAGGGTAATTTTTTGCCTTTTCCCACATTCAATTTTAGGTGTTTCTTGTAATAGACTGGGAC